CATTGCCAGTTCCTATCATTATGTTTCAACTCATAATGTGAAACGTCTGTGGTCATAGCACCAAAGGTAATAGAGAATATCCATCTATCAGACATGATCCAAACACAAATGTAAAACTAGTTAGCTCTTGTAGAAGATCAAAAAAGAACAACTGAAAAACTGCGAATCAGAGGATGTTTTGTCATATAAAATATAAATTCTTAGATGCTTAAGAATACAAGTGTAAAATTCAGTATTTAGCTAAAGGTTTGACTACTACAGTTTGGACAAACATAAATACAGAGAGATAATGAAGTGAAAATTCCTAAGACAGTCAAAATGCATCACATTAAACCTCCTTAGGGCATCATTTTAGCTTGCCTTATTTCAATTTGAATTATCTTACATACTTAACAATTTGTAACTACACTAATCAAGCTTACCCAACAACAATATAACTTAAAAGAGTAATAATTCTAGTAATCACTAACATAAACTTCAACAACCTCACCTTGGATTACATCTGTACACTACACACATATGTGGAGTAAGATGCCTTCTCTCCATAGCTTTAGACAAAGCTTCTTGAATTGTCTGACCAGGTCGTACTTGAACCTACAGAAACAAAAACCAATAACCTGTTACTCATATTAGAACTATTTACGGTAGCCTAAAAATTACTCATGTGTCTACTGCAATGTTAGTAAGGAAAATGTACTTTCTTGCATCTCATAAATATTCCTACAGTAAACACTGAAATTAGTTCATAGCTGTAACCAACAAAAACATAACCAACTTTTTTTTTTTAAGATATAAGTCAAAATTCATTATAAGTCATGTACAAATGTACAATGTTTTCAAGACATAATGCTTACCGTTGATCTTTGTTGATAAGGAAGAAAGGCTCTGACAACTTTCAGTGGAGATTTTGGAGTCAACCTGGTTCCATCTGGCAAGGTACCTTAGAAAGATTTGTAAGTACCTCAGCTATTTCAAAGTGCCTTAAACCTGGTTCTGATGTAGGAAGGGCTGCCAATATCCTTATTTTTCAAATATTTTACTAAACTTGTACTACATTACTAGTTGAGAAATTAATCAATGCTAATTTGTTGAGAAAGTAGGCCTTAATTATTTATTACTTGACCTTAAGATTAATAGTTAACTTGAGAAATCATCATACTGTAAAATTACTTCCTAGTAGAAAATGCATCTGATATTATGATCCGATGTGAATATTAATAGTTAAGTTTCAAAAATACCATCCTTATAACCTCTTGGTAGAAAGTGCCTCTGATCTTATCACTTGATACGGGTACCGTTACTATAGCAGAGTTTCAAAGTATCATACTACATTACATTATCCTGTATTAAACTTGCAATAAATGTACATAGACCTTTAAATTTATTATGGAAATGCCAAATTTTCAAGTTTACAAATGCCTTAAAAAATATTTGCAAAACATACAATATATTAAAATTTGTAACCTATACTAATTCAAAGAAAAAAAGAAAGCAATTAACAATACTGAAATAATACGAGCTACATAATATACAAGCCAGTGCCAGCTCAAGTTAAAAAAAATAAACAAATCGTGCCTTTTCCAGATTTTTATATTTTATTTTCTGTTTATTTTTACTGTACTTTACAAATTCAAATTTTTTTCTAAATTCAGAATACATAGTACAAAAATGTTACATAGTAGAAAAATACATATAAAAAACAAAGATTAGTCTTAGGAAATGGAACTATACGAGCTTTTAACATAGCAAAACTTTCCTTAATTTGTCCATATTTATTTCAGTGACCATTTCATTTTCTACAGAAATTATTTCTAGACCATATAGTCTCTCTCATCCCGTCTTGGAACATAAAATATCTTTTATCAACTTTACTTTCAAATATTATCTTTTGCCCCTTACCACACTTATGGGCAAAATTTATAAAATTCTTAAAGCAATAAACATATTTGGAAAAATTTCTTTGATTTTGTTTTCACATATATAAAATAAGATCTTATCTGAAGTTGAATTTTCTAATATTAATCTAGGTTTTGCACATAAACTTTCATCACAAATATCACTTTTCCTTTGCTTGTTTTTATTTTTTCTAAATTTTTATAATTTCTGTGGTGAGTTTTTTGGGCCCTTCTGACCTGCTTTGAGACAACACTGTGAATATGCAAAAGAATAAGTCAACTAATAGTGATTGGACTTAATACTGTTAATTATCCCAAACTTCTCAAATATTAAAAATTTAACAAATATTATATGAGATTTAAACTCACCTGTACTGCAACTAGATAAACTTGCTTGACTACTGTTAGAAGTTAGAGTTTCTCTTGGAGTTGCTATTTCTGGATACATCCTACTTTCATCATAGTCAGGATCTGATTGTTCAGGAGAATCTCTTCCATTACTACCATTACTAAGCTGATCTACAAGTCTCTGTTCTTGTAGCTGAAACTCATTTAGTTTGGAATTCAAATCTTCAAACTCCTGAAACAACATATACAATGATAAGATGAAATGTGTAATATTTTAATTACAATTATACATTAAAACACAAGATTTTCCGATAAAATAACGTCCAAATCATGATACTGGGCAAAACATAACATTTTACTTAAAATATGGAATAAAACATATGATACTCCTTTTGAGTAAGTTGGATGAAACATAATATTCTAAACAAAATGGGGTCATAAAATATATATCCTGTTTAGCATACAGGAGGTAAGTTAAATAATAATGTCATAATGCTTAATGTGTTGATAAAGATCATCCTTTCCAAGACAGTAGGATAAAACATACAATATCTTAAAGTATAATGAAGAGGTATTACATAATTTCCTACTACAAATGGTAATAAAAATAGTGTCCTACTCAAAATAGCAAGGAAAAACATGTTTTGTTCAAGAGAGTGTACTATACACGTATATTCTCATCATGATTATAACGATAAGATTAAATATACAATATCCTGTTCAAACAGTGTAGTAAAAAATATATCATTTTGTTTGAGATAACTATGTAATAAATAATATCCTAATCAAAAATTGGACTAAACTAATATCATACTTAAGATCAAGGAATAAAATATAATACCCAAATCGTGATGTAATTTGATCAAGATTAAAACCAAGCACCTTCTAATATCACAGAAACAATTTTATAGGATTTTACATATCAAAATTAAATATTATGAATATGTAAACAGTTATCCCAAACAAACAGCTTTGACCTATCTTTATGTCCTATTTTAGTCATACCATTAAAAAAAGCTGACTTCCCAAGAATGATGCCACAATCACAAAGATGTCCGATGCATGTATATATTATTAAATAAAATTCAAATGATTAAAAAAATGCATGAATTAGGTCATAGTTTTGTGAATTTATTCTATCTTCTATGTCAGAATGCATAACATACTACAAATAATATTAATGCAAATGCAAGCAAAATTATTTAGTCCCATGTTCAGCATGTGTAAGAGAATAAAATATTAGTCAGCTTTCAAATTTTTAATGATGACTGATTTGAAACTCAACAAAAGTCGTTATGATTGAAACATTAACCACACATTTCTTATTCCCATACATTTCTTTGCGTTTTCAGAAGTATTTTAAATTATAGCTGCATTTGTTTGTTATTTAAAGTAGTTAAAGCATGTTAATTTATCTAATATCACAGAAAAAGCCGTTCTGTCTATGCCTGAACATTAATTACACAGACATTTGAATGCGATCTCTATTCAGCCAGTGTGTAAAACATATGTTTCAGTATTATGAATAGTTATTAGACTATTTGATTCAAAGAATGTAAAAATTCAAGCAGGCTATGATGCATATTAATAAGGATGAAACATATACACATGGTATTAAAAACATATGCATATAAATATACCACTGGTTTAATAAATGTAGTGATAAATGTTTACACTTACTCTTGATAAAAAAATTCAACTTACAATGATAGAAATATTTAGTTTCTTTGTGAGAAAAAAACACACACACACATACACACATATATATATATATATATATATATACACACAGTTGACCACGACTCTGGTCACTTAGTAAAAAGGTTTAACTAGCTGAATACAAAATAATTTGTCTACAAACGACCCCTTAACTTT